AGTCGGTGAGTTCTTGCATTTTCTTTTCACAGGTCTTGAGTTGTTTGATTAATAGTTCTTCGTTTTTTCCTTTAATTACCATTTCATCTTCAAGTTCTGAGATTCTGTCTTCTGTTTGTTCTATTCTGCTGGATTGGCCTTCTGTTTTGTTTTGCAGTTCTATTTCGTTCTTCTTTCTGAGGTTTTCCATATCCTGGCTGGTTTCCTCTTTAATGGTGTCTATTTTTGTCCTGAGTTCATTTATCTGTTTATTCATTGTGTTCTCTCTTTCACTTTGGTGTTTACACAGTGCTTCTATGGTTTCCTTTATTTCTTCTTTGCTTTTTCAAATTCTCTATTTTTATTGCCTTGGAATTTCCTGAGTGTCTCCTGTACATTTTTGTTGACCCTATCCAGTATCATCTCTATAAAATTCTCATTGAGTACCTGTAGTATGTCTCCTTTTAAATTATTCTTGTGGGGTTCATTGGGTCCTTTGGCATAGTTTATCTTCATTTTGTTGAAGTCTGGATCTGAGTATCTGTTTTTCTCATTCCCCTCTGGTTCCTGTACTAATTTGCTGTGGGGAAACTGGTTTCCCTGTTTTTTTCTGTCTTCCCGTCATTGTCTTTGGTGTTGTTACTGTCCCTGTACTGTGTGCAATTAAGTATTTTCTAGCTTGTAATAATAACAATGGTAATATTTAGAATGGAAGGGTGAACTGAGATGGAAAGCAAGAAGTTAAAGAAAAGGGAAAAACAAATACACTTACTAGAAGGAGAAAACAGAACAAGGTATCAGACAAGAAGATTTCAAAGGTATAAACAGGGAGCATTAATGTACTAATTGACAGTAAGCTGAACAGACATTAGAGAGACAGAGAGAAGATTGAAAATCAAAAATAAAAAAAATTAAGATAGGAATAAAAATAAAAAATAAGTAAGTGAAAGAAATATCTATATATAAAAATGAATTAAAATAATATGAAAAATAGAAAATTAAAAAAAACCCAAAAAACCAAAAAAACAAAAAACCTCCAAGTTCAAATGCATTGAAGTTTCAGTCTTAATAATTTGGGTGTCCGTCTCAGTCTCCAATCCTGGAGATGGTGCCCCAGATTTTGTTCTGTAGCTGTCTCATCAAAGGGGACGCATAAAGTAGAACAAAACTACACACACACACACACACAAAAAAACCCCACCAAGTGTCCCAAGTTCAAATGCAATACAGTTTCAGTAAGTTTTTCAGCATGCAGGTGTAATTTGGTTGTTCTCTCATCAAAGGTAGGGAGAAAAAGAAAAAAAAAGTCTGTAGACAGTTCTGCGAATGGTATCTGCGGCTGTGGCTTGCCTGCCTGCTGCTGTCAGCCTGCTATTGCTGGCGGCATTATTTATGCAGATCTCTGGAGTGAGCTTAGTATTCACCTGGCCCCGTAGGCTTTGTTTGCTCAGAGTTCTCCTGTGTGGGAGCCTCTGCTACAAACTTTCCCCTTTGCAAGCACACTGGGAAAGGTGACACTGCCCCCGCATTGTCAGGCCTGCGTGTTTATTTACAGTTCATATGGGAGATGGGTCTTCCCCTATCTCCTGTGGAGTCTTCCTCCCACCACCACTTTCACACACTTTTCTGCTCCTGATTACTGGGCGGTGCTGCTGCTCCTGCCAGCTGCCATGTTTGTTTACAGTTCACATGAGTAGTGGGTCTTCCCTCCTCTCCTGTGGAGCTTTCCTCCCTCTGCCACTCTCACAAGCTTTCCCACTCCTTGTTGCTGGGCACGCGCCCCGCTCCTGCCAGAGCCTTTCCGGCCTGCCCGGCTTGTTTATTTACAATTCCGGGAAGGATTCCCTTCCCCCAATCTTTGGCGCCCCACCCTCTTTCCCACGTGTCTTTATTGTTCTTATTGCTTATTAGTCAGTTTCTCTTTTTTCCCTGGGTGGAAGTCAGTCTGTCCAGGGGGCTATGCTGCTCTGGCCCAGGCTTGTCTGTGGGAGTACCGTGGTACTGCGAAGCTCACCTTGTCTGCATTTTCCCAAGCCGTCTGGTCGCGGGCGACTGGCGGCCCGGGGGCCCTTCTGGTTTTTCCATTTACCGTGAAGTGGAGATTCTGTGCACCGGCTGGAGGTGTGGAGGCGTCAAAGTTATGCCTCTTCTGTGATTATGCCTGCAAAGTGTGTCTCCAGCGTCTCTCCAAGATTTCACTATAGGAGGCTCACTTTCTGCTTCCTCCCTCTTGCTGCCATCTTGGAATCTCTAAATTTTATTTTGTTGCCACTTCTCTTTTGACAAAGTATATGATAGTTAGATGAAAGAAGATTAGACCAAAAATATATAATGACTGCTCAGAAAATATGAACATGCTTTCATAGATCTGAATTTTCTTCAGTTCCTTATGCATGCATTTATGTTTTTTATACTTCAATTTATAGTTTGTATTTTTGTACATTAATTCACAAATATTTTAGAGAAACATCTTTACATGTTGCTCTACTAGCTTTATATCTGGTTCTGATATCTGCATAAATTCCCTCAGGATGAAATATGGTATTTAAGCAGTCCTTATTGTTGAGTATTTAAGTTACTTTTTGTATTTTTCATTTCATAGATTTACAATACATAGTGGTAAATACTACATATGTAAGGACTTAAAATGGAAAAAGGGGACCCATTAAAAACTATTCCAGGAATGGGGGCAGGGAGAATAAAAAGGAGAATGATGGTGGGATTGAATTCAACTGTGATCTCTTACAAAAGTAAGAACTTTTGTAAATGTCACAATGTACACCAAGTACAATAATAAAAATAATAGTAAAAAGAATCTACATATGGTTATATAATTTTTATTACAAAATAATTTTGAACATTATCACACAAAGGATTCCTGATTCAAAGAGTTCAGCCTAGTATGTGTTCCAGTGATAAAATACCTCTACAACAGGAATAAGAATTTAATCTAAATGGGATTTTAAATATTTTCAGTTCTTAAGCTAACAAATGTATTTTGAAAGAAAAAAATGTTTTGAAGTGACGTAGTTGACTTCCCAATGCTCTAAGAAGATATTGTGCCCAGTGCCTGTGGCTCATGCTATAATCCTAGTAATCCTAGCTACTCAGGAGGTAGAAATCAGGAAGATTGTGGTCGGAGGTCAGTCCCCAGTCAATAATTCATGAGACCCTATCTTGAAAAAAACCTATTATAAAGAAAGGGATGGTGGGGTGGCTCAATTGGTAAGTAAGCCCTGCTTAGCAAGTGTGAGGCACTGAGTTCAAATCCCAGTGCCACCAAAAGGAAAAGAAAACACATTGAAACCAGTCCACTACTTGCCTTGAAATTACTAAAGACTGATAAAGTAATGGACTTTGAAGGCAGTCTTCTAGGTAAGTCCAATTTTGGGAGTTTGGGGGCATCAAGACTTAGTTGGAGTGCTATAAGAAATAATTATCCACACAATGGGTAAGGAAGACTCTTCAGAGGTAACTTTAATAGGTATAAATTAAGTAAAAATTTTAGAACTAAAGGTGGAGCATCCTTTATTAGAAATGCAGGGGATTAGAAGTATTTGAGATTTCAGATTTTTTTAAAGCTTTGGAGTATTTCATATACCTAATGAGATATCTTAAAGATGGGACCCAAGAAACCAGAAAGTCATTTGTTTCATATACACATGGCCTGAAGGTAATTTTATGCAATATTTTAAAATAATTTTATGCATGAAACTTTGTTTTATGGGGTGGAATTTTTAAATTGTGGCTTCATGATGATACTCAAAATGTTTCAAATTTTGGGTCATTCTGAATTTCTGATTTTCAGACTAGGGATACTCATTCTATACAAGTAGAGACATAAGGAGAGATGTTAACTGGGGTTGAATAAGTGTAGAGTTTCCAAAGAGATGAGATTGTGTAGCCAGTGCTTTAAATAAAAGGAAGGTATTACTGTAAATAATAACTTCTGGACATTTCCCAATTCTAGATCTGAGGCTTTGTTCAAAGAATTACATTTTTTAATATAAAAAGTGGAATTTATTAGAGAGAAAGAAAGGGCTACAGCTAGAACACTGCAGCAGAGTCCAGAAGCCAGTAGCTCCCAAAGAACTACATTTAAGAAAAGACATTTTGTCCAGTCAGTTTCAAAACTAGAAATTTTCATTCTTTTTTGAAAATTTTTGTGGTAAATATTTTATTGATAGGCTCATGCTGTCTTAAAAGGCCATGTTTTTCTTGTATAAAATAATTATATGGAATATTGATTTGAATGCTAGTTTCAATGAGCTTAGACTATACCTTCCCCAAGAAGGGGAAAGCTAAGTCTCACTCTATTTCAGTTCCCACCCCTTGCCATTTAGTCATTGTTGTTGGTAGTAGATACTTGAGAGGAATTATTTTCCCACCAATAGTACATTAGACAGAGAGTTTCTAGGTCCTTAATAAGGAATTTGATAAGGTTTGAACTATGAAAATCTTTAGCAACTTTGTCTATTCTAACCATGAGGGAAAATTCATTATTTTTAAAACATGAGATTAACAGTGGTTCCTAAGATTTGGTTTTGCTTTGGTCATGCTGTTCTTAAGAGTTTTAGCAATTAGAATGAAAGCAAAATTTGCTGACAATGATTCTGGGAAGATTGATATAATGAGTGCACACTATTATAGAATTTGTATCATAAATAAAATAAAATAACTATAATAATTTAAACACAATAGTAGGTCTTTTAGTTTCTAAAATTTAATGAAACTCCCTGTGCATGATGTTGACAACAGGGTAAACTTTGCAATCTCAAATGCAGTAGCATGACATAACCATATATTCTATATTTCCTGCTTTTTCAATTGTAGATGATGCAACTTCCAAACAGTCCCAAAATATGAAGCAAGAAGAATAATATTTATATATAACATAATCAATGTGCCTCTTTACCCATCAAAGTGACTTTATCTTCTGTATTTTCCTCTTGCATCAAATACTGGGTAAACTAAGGCACGTAAGAAGAAAGAAGTGCTTTTCATAGTCATTACTCTTTGCAATGGGAGTACTAAATTTCAAGCACTTCTTTTTGGGGAACTTCATTGAGTTCGATGGAGCATCCCATACAGTGTTTCTATTCCTTCTGATTCCATGTTGCTTGACTATGGATTTAAGGGCACCTCCTATTATCCCAAATATACCTTTTCTCTGGGCTTGGAATGCTCCAACTGAATTTTGTTCTGGAAAGTTTAATGAGCCACTAGATATGAGCCTCTTCTTTCTAACAGGAAGTCCCCGAAAAACTGCCACAGGGCAAGGTGTTACTATATTTTACACTGATAGACTTGGATATTATCCTCACATAGATGTTTCTCTAACAAGTGTGCATGGAGGAATCCCTCAGCTGGGGTCCTTACAGGATCATTTGGCCAAAGCTCAGAAAGACATTTTACATTACATGCCAATAGACAATGTAGGCTTGGCTGTAATTGACTGGGAAGACTGGAGACCCACCTGGGAAAGAAACTGGAAACCTAAGGATATTTACAAAAATAAGTCTATTGAGTTGGTTCAGCAACGGAATGTAAACCTTAATGTCACAGAAGCCACCAAGATAGCCAAAGAAGAATTTGAAAAGGCAGGAAGAAGTTTCATGGAAGACAGTTTAAAATTAGGAAAATCACTTCGGCCAAATCACTTATGGGGTTTTTATCTTTTTCCTGATTGTTATAACCATAACAATAGAAAACCCAATTACAATGGACAGTGCCCTGATAAAGAATTGCAAAGAAATGATGCTCTCAACTGGATATGGGAGGAAAGCACAGCCCTTTATCCATCCATTTATTTGAAGAGTGACTTAAGATCATCTCAACAAGCTGCACTTTTTGTCCGAAATCGTGTGCAGGAAGCCATTAGGGTTTCTAAAGTGGCAGATGCTAAAAGTCCACTTCCAATTTTTGTATACATTCGTTTAGTTTTTACTGATCTAACTATGGAATTCCTTTCTGAGGTAAGTAAATCACAATATGACAGTTATAAAGTAGTGTTCATAAAAGGTGTTTAGTGGAGGTTAATATTTTTGAAGGAAGTGAAATTTGTCTTTTAATGTCATTTGTGAATATGAGTATTTGTGAATACATGAGTTCTAAGTCAAAATAAGAATATTTCTATAAACTCTTAGTAGCCTTGGAAAATTAGGTAGTAGAGACAATTTATTATCTCTGGTTCTTTTTTACTTTTATAGGCTTGCTCTTGTCAATAGAAGTAATTAAAATAATAGTCTATTTTTTAATATCAGGGAAGTAGTTGCAAAAATGTAAATAGTGGGGAAATACTTAAATTATTGTTGTCAAATCAGTATGCTTAGCTTTGGTGTTACTGTCTTTTGTAGAACACTTTCATTTTAGTCCTCTGTGTTGATTCTTTCTGTCAAATTTGCCAGGAAGACCTTGTGCATACAATTGGCGAAACCATTGCTCTGGGTGCATCTGGAATTGTAGTATGGGGAACTCTTGGTTTAGCACGAAGTATGGTAAGTTGAATTGGTTGAAAATATTTCTGCCTTTAATGTTTTTGAGGATTGTTTGGTGTATTATATAAGAAAATTATTATAATTAACACACAGTAGTAGGTACTATTGACTGAATCAAAATATCTTGCATTCCTTTAGTTGGGTTGTAAGGCAGAAAATATTGTACCTGCTTTATGCTGAGGAATCAAATTCAGTGAGATTAATTGAAATTCTTTAGGGTCTATGGCTTGTGTATAGCAAAACCAACCCTGCAATTTTAGTTTTCTGACATGGTGTTTGGTGTCAGGAGGTCTTTATTTTCATCCTTGTCTAATTCTCCATATCAGGTCTTTATTCCCCACTTCTTGAATCCTCTTGATCAAAGGAAAGGCTAAATTGGAGCTGAACTTTTACTTCTCTGTTAGATGTGGTGATACTCATGATAAATGTGTTGTGAAGAATGTCAAATGAAGCTCATCTCTGGGAGTCCAGTCCTAGAATCTATAGAGAATAGAATTTATAAGACCAAGACAGAGCTCTTGAGAAGTTTTACATCTCTCTCTTGTATTTTAGATAGGATTGGAGTATTCTTACTTCAATTACTTAAGGAAATCACATTTGTGGAATTCCGTCAAGATAGTTTCAGACCTTCTGCTTATTTTGTATAATTATATTGTCTTTGGCTTGATCTCCAACAAAAATGAAATAACAGAAAATATAAATTCAGGTAAAGGTACATGCTTTTTGGTAAAATCTTCTATATCAGAAAATTATTTCAAAAATTTAAATGTTTAGTATAGTCCAAATTTTTATTAGCTGATATTATTAATTCCATGATGGAACCAATTGTAAATTCTAAACACCACTTTCTTTAATAAAATAAAAGAACTGAGAACTCCACCCTTACTCTAAAGGAATGAATCAAACATTCCCCAATAAGTAGGATGATATGACATACTATTTAAGTGTCACATTTGTTTTCTTTATATCACTTTAATCTCAGGCTTATATTCACTTACCATGCCTCTCAAATCATCTTCAGTTATTGTTCATTCAGGAATATTCCTTCAACTTTAATATGACTGTTTTCTATTTAGTGGCATGGTCTCAATGCTGTCCCTTATAGATTCTGTTCTATAATCCTGCTACTTTTCCCAATTCTTTACCATTTTGAACATCAGTATTATTACTTTCCCTTTTTTCTATGCCATTTATAACCAATAAACCCACCAATTGCTGTGTCATTGTTCCTCTGATTGATTGAGAACATGAAAAAGTGGTGTTTGCAAGTGTATGGAAGTTGCTAGAACTGACTTAAAGCAAGTGTGAAGTCAACTATTCTCTCATGCTCCGTTTCATTACATCCAGTTGTGTGATGAAGCCAACTCCACAGCTCCCAGTTTATGAGACTTGATTGTTAAATATTTAGGAATTTTGTGAGCTAGTCACTAAACAGCCTTTATTAAAAATTGAACTATAAAGACATAGAATACAAGAAGTTATGTTAAAACAAAGGCAATGAATACTGAAAATTTATCAATTTTTTACTTGTTTTTCATTAGCCATGCACTTGAAATTGTTTATATCTATTGTGTTTATATAAATGGAAATACTCTGTAATGGCTAATAATCCATATCACACTGTGCAATGACCTTATACTCAGTTTCCAATTCTGCATTCCACTGTGGTGTCAGATAATACTGAATTGGCCATGACAGGAGTATGTACACAATGGTACCTGCACAAATGCTATAAACCAGGCTTATCTTAGATAGCCTTGTCTTTTGGCTACATAATATATAAGGTATTGATTGTCAGACTCTTGTGTCTCCATAAGCAACTTGAATGTTACCCAAGTTTGATATAAATTCTCAAATATCCTTAGTAGTGGGCATATAGTGCTTGTAAACAATGAGTGTTTTAAAAATACATAAATGACAGCCAGGTGCTGGTGGCTTACACATGTAATCCTAGCTACTTGGGAGACTGAGACTGGAAGGGCCATGGTTCCAGGCCAGCTGAGGCAAAAAGTTCATGAGATTCCCCATTTCAACCAATAGTTGGTTGTAGTGGCATGTCAACATGGGAGATTGAGATCAGGAAGATCATGGTTCTAAGCCAGTGTGGGCAGAAAAATTTCATAGTACTCTATCTCAATGGAAAAATATCTGGGGATAGTAGCACAGCCCTGTACTCCCAGCTCCCATACTCCCACTCCTGTACTTCCAACGTGGAACATAAAGTTGGAGGACTTTGGCCCATGCCAGTCTGGGCAAAAAGGAAGAACTAATTTAAAAAATGACCAGTGAAGAACCAGCTAAAGACATGGCTTTAATGGTAGAGCACCTGCCTAATAAGCAGGATGTTCCATGTTGAAACCCCAAAAACATCAAAAAATAAACAAATGAGAAAAATATTTGGTGTTACATGTACTATGCAGAGAACTAATACAGGGTTTTGAGTCTACAAGGACAACATCTGATAAGGGCACCGTCTAAGTAAAGCGCAATCAGAATAACAACAGGGAGTCAACCATGTTAAAAATTGGAGGAAAGAGTATTCCAAGCACAAGGAACAGTAGCGGAGTTTAAAATGAACACGCCAGGCTACTGGGACAACTACTCTGTCTAAAGAGCATGGGTATGGGAGGCTCTGCAAAAGGAAGGAGGGGTTATTCATATCAGATGGTATTCAAGTCAAGAAGTGGAGTTTCATTCTAAACTATATAATACTGTTGGAGAGTTAAGAGGACAGATGGTGTTTTAGTTTGTTTATTGCTTCCATAAAAGTTACAACAAACTTAGTGGCTTAGACAACACAAATGTACCATCTTACAGTTCTGTAGGTCAGAAGTCCAACACAGGTCTCCATGGGCTAATATTAAGCAAGCTGCATTCCTTCTAGAAGAGAATCTTCATTTACTCACTTGGGTTATTGGCAAATTCGGGTCCTTGTGGTTGTAGCAGTGAGATTTCTGTTATCTGACTAGCTGTTAACTAAGGTCATTTCCATCTTATAGGTGTTCCTACATTCTTTAGTTCTTGACCCATCTCAAATATTTAACCCAGCTGGAAAATTTCCTAATCTTTTAAGGACTCGTGTAATTAGATTGGGTCCTCCCAGAAAATTCAGGATAATGTCTGCATCTCAAGGAACATGCCCTCAAATCATATCTTTGACCATGCAAGCTAACATGGTCACAGGTTCCTGGGGATTATGTTGTTGCTATCTGGGAGGCCATTATTATGCCAACAATTGAGGGCATCATCTTAAGTAGGGCAAAAGAAATCAATTCAAGTGGGAGCTTCTAAGATTCTTTGCTTTGTCTACCAAAATAGCACCATTACTGCCTTTGGTCTGCCCAAGGGATAGTACAGCTATCTTACTGGTGTAATTGTTGATCATAAAAGAAAGGAACCTCTTCAATGTTCTTTTTAAAGCTAATGTCCATATTTTAGATTATACCAGTCTCAAGATAAATCATTTCAGCTATTTAGCCCTCATTTCTTACCAAATTTGTAAATGAATTGTCATTATGTACATGTAATTTGGCTATACACAACTTTTAATATAAAATATACTCAGTTGAATCTGTCTTGCTATTTTGAGCCATCAACTTAGAAATTTTTTTCAATGCTCTTTTAAACTTATTAGACAAATGCAATCCTTACTACATTTATTTATGACTCATTAAGGATTAACTGAAGATACACTAGGCCTTGTATTAAGCATTTTAATATATATCATATATATTCATCTTCAAAACAACTTAATCGGGGAGGCTTCAAAATTATCCTTATTTTATAGTTGGTAAAAACTAAAGCATATTTAAGTTAATTAGGTTGCCCAAGGCCATTCAAGTAAGAATTAGAAGGCTCAAGAGACCCTCAAATTAATACAGTTGGTTATTAATAAAATTGGGACTGCGATTAGGACAAATTGATTCCAGAGTCCATATTGTAATAGCTGTACCATTTTATCCCTTTGGTTAATTTATGAACTATTGAGGAAGATCAAGGCTCTAGGATATGTTAAACCTAATCTGATCAGTTATTCAGTGATATGAAATGTCATGTGAAATTTACAAATTATAACAACAAAAAATTATAATCATTTTGCTAGTTAAGTTTTTTTTTAAAAAAGATATATTTTCTACTTCTTGGTATGTCTGTTGCTTTGTTCTTCCTTAAAAATTGCTTGTTGTGGGGCTCATGACTATAATCCCAGCTTCTTAAGAGGTAGAAATAGAAGGATCACAGTCTGAGGTTGGCCCTGGCAATAGAATGAGACTCTATGTGAGAAAGAATCTAAAGCAAAACAGAACAAAACAAAGGGGCTGGGGATGGGCTCCAATGGTAGAGCACTTATGGACCTAGTATGAGGCCCTCATTTTAAGCCTGGTAGTACTGCCCCCGAATGTTGCTTATTGCAGTGAATTAATTCACATATGAATTATCTTATGCCTTGATTTTCTGACCATCTTATAATTTTACAGACATCTTGCCTGAAACCTACATGATTACATGACAACTACATTGAATCCTTACATAATCAACGTCACCCTAGCAGCCAAAATGTGTAGCCAAGTGCTTTGCCAGAATCAAGGTGTGTGTTCAAGGAAAAATTGGGACTCAGATGACTATCTTCACTTAAATTCAGTGAATTTTGATATTGAAGCCGTGCAAGGTGGAAAGTATGTAATAAATGGAAAACCTACCCTTGAAGACCTGCAATATTTTACCAAAAAATTCCACTGCAGCTGTTATACTAACTTGAATTGTAAGGAGAGACTTGATGTAGAAAATGTTAAGACTATTAATGTGTGTGCTATTGAAGATATTTGCATAGATGCGGTTTTAGAACCAGAAGCCAATGCTGGGCCTGTTGTTGCAATGAACAAACCTGTTTCCACTAAGAATGGTAACGATCATGTCACCAAATCATCTGCCACAGTGTCTCTACGTGTTCCTCTGAAATATCTCAGTGGGTACCTCTTAATTCTCTCTGTATATTCACAACATTTGAAATATTTGTTATAGGTTCAGAGCAACTAGAAATTGAGTAATGGACACCATCTTACAAAAAAGAATTATATATTAATAATTAAGATTTCACTTTGTGCTTCAAAAGCAAAATGCATATTCTTCTATCAAAGATTGATTGCAAGGTCTATCACACTTGAAGGATTAGTATTCTTCTGAGGAAAGTGCAGATTTGAATAAAGCCAAGTTACTGTAAATGAATGCTTTTATTAGTAGTTTTGTCATTTGTAAAAAAAAAAGTCGAGAAAATATTCAGATGAAAACCTCTGTCTTTTAAAATGGAATATCACTAGTGTTTCTCACTTATAGAACTATGGTTTATAGTTATTTCATTTTGGAAATTTGTCCAACTATAAAAAAGTAAACATAAATGAATATCCTGTCTAGTTTTGTACATGACTTACTATGCTTTCAGAATTCACATTTGTAAAATATTCTAATTTTCTTTTCATTATTAATTTTCAAGTTCTAATCTTGTACACCTAATATGCCTCATTTCATCTAAGCATCCATTCATTTGGCCATTCTCATCCACCATAAGCATTTATGGAGTGCCTATTCTCTAGTAGGCTTGATATTAAGAGTCACAGATTCAAGATGAAGCAGCTAGTTCTTGCCATCTGCTGTATGTTTGAAGATAATAGAAATTGAAAGTGGAAAATTACAACATAGCGGGTGATAAATGCTGTGATACTCTTAGCATGTTTTGGCATGTAAATAACAGTTTGGGATGTGAGCACTTTCTGACAAAGATGATATGAAATTTGCTTTAAAGGTTAAATATATGTTAGGCAGTATGAAAGAGAGAGAACTTCAGAAGGATGGGACATGGAGTGGGTTTATTTGAGTGGTGTAATGTAAATGATGGCCAAATGATGAAAGCCTTTGTAATCCATGCTAAGAAACTGGGATTTTATAATGAAGGCATTCTCAAATTTTTAGACCTCCCTATTTTTCTCCACCAACACATATCACTCACTACATGATCTACTTATTTTTACTTCCTATCACCTTCCTGTACTGTTAAGCATCATGGGACAGTATTTGGCATATTTTACTTACAACTGTATATATATGTATAGTGTGACAAACTGAACAGTACAGGGGACTTAGGAGATGCTTATTGTAAATGTGTTGAAAAAATGAAAGCCAACAGAGCTCACTAAAAGATTTTATATGTGGGATTGGTCATGACCGTTTTTTTATGATTTGAGAACTCTTAGACAAATGGTAGCCTTTTGCTTAACTGCACCTTAATTCTCCACTACAACTATGATTTTATTTCCAAGGAAAAAGAAGTTAGTTATAATTAACTTAATAAGTTAGTTATTGAAAAGAAATAATTTGTCAATGACCCAGAAATGACATTACACGTGAACTAGTTTACTTAGAATCCAATAATAGCTGCTAAAGTAAGCAGTGATCAAGACTTAGAAAGAATGGTGGCAGCAAAGCAAATTGGAAAATAATGGATTTTGGAATTGAACAATTGTAAGGGAAATTCTAGATTCCATTTATTGCTACATGAGATTATGGGAATTAATGTGGCTCAGCTAATGTTTCAATAATACCAATAATTTATTTCTTTTAAGGTTCTTAAGAAGGGTGAATGACATAACATGCAGTCTTAAAAAGTAGCTCAAAAGGAGATGGACACATTTCAGTGAGCATGGGAAGGTGCTTATAGTGTTGTAGGAAGGAATGACAAATCAATGTATTTCTTCTTTGGCAGACTTGGCCAGGCACCTGGTGGCAAAATAGATCACTAAATGGAATAATAGATGGCATAGGAATATTTTACATAAAGCACAGCTTTTTATGATTAGGTTTTAGAGCAAGCTTTTTTCTTGCTCCTGTTACTACTGAGTTTTTCTGGGCCTAACTGGGGGCAATAGAAGATGCAGAAAGGACAAAGGGTAGACAGACAGACATGCAGAAAGTGGTATCAGGTGTGCTGAGTTCTCAGATGGAAGCACACGAGAGCCTCATTGCTTCTTTTCTCTATCTTTTCTTTAAAGCCTTACTCCTTTACAATTCTTTAAAACCTTGCTTCTGAAGTCTTTTTTCTATTCTTTGAAACCTCACTTCTAAAATCTTCTTTTCTGCTCTTTAAAGTCTCTTTCCTTAGACTCACTCTGTCCCATGTTTTCTTTAGCTTAGCTTTTCTAAAGCCAATGTATAAAGTTCTTGATGCAGACTTGCACTGTCCCATGTTCTTTTTTTAACTTTCTTAAAGTCTCGGCCCTCAGACTTGCAGACAAACAACAGCAAAAGTCCCTTCACAAGCTGCCAACCAATTCTATCAATCCCTGTTTAGCAATTCCCCTTTAGCAATTCTCCTTCAGCAATTCTTTTCCCTTCAGCAATCCTCCCTCTAGCAATTATCTGTAGCCATTCATTTTCCCCATTCAGCAATCTCCCTCCAGCACTTTCCCTTCAGCCAAAAACCCCCATCAAAAAAACATTCCCCTACCCAAAATCATCCAATCCTCCTTCAGCCAGTCTTTTGTATCCAGTGCTAAACAAGGAGGTGGTGCAATGGTTCTCAGGGAGGGGCATGACACTGTAACAAGGGAAAGCAGCTGAGCTGCATCTTGCCTTCTAGCTCTTTTCTGTGTCCGGGGCTGTGCCAAAATATCAGCCTACAGATTATTTGACATAAACACCTTAGGAAAAGCAGCTGCTCTGCATCTTGCTCTTGACCTATTCTGCAGTTGGGGCTGTGCTGAACTCAGCCTGCAGAATATTGAGTACAACTGTGGTTATGTCCTCATAGGCTTCTCATACTCCACTCCCCACAAGGTTGGTAGAAGTAAATTGCATTTCCATTTTGATCAAGCAAATAGAATTTTATAGATTACCTGCTCTTCCAGGAAAAACAGTGTAATGATGAAGATGATAGACTCATAAACAAAATTTGTCCATAGAATGTGCCATAAACATATAGTGTAAAAATTACAGAGCAGTAGGAAGTATACACAGATAATTAACACAGAGTACTGAAGAAATAAAGCAATTGGATTCAAAGTTATGCAATTTAGTTTACTGAATGTATCTCTACACTTTCAAGTGTCTTACAAAACCTGTCTCCCTGATAGAGTAAAGGGTTCCGTTCCAAAATTACTGGAGAAGAAACCTGCTTTTATGCAACAATTGCTTTCTTAAAATGAATTTGGATACAGAATAAGGTCAAGCACTGGATTTATTGTAAACAATTCAATATTGTTAGAAGAAAGCGTACATTTACTAAGAAATCACAAAAATATTTTAAAGATATTTATTAAGCAGTAATGAAGACATATAAGGGTCAATTTTGTTGTGTAAAAACAACAAAAAGGATCAATTTTGTTGTGTGGACTGGAGGTATATCTCAGTAATGGAGCAGCTGCATAGTATGCATGAGATCCTGGGTTTGATCCTTAGTACCACAAAGGAAAAGAAAGAGAGAAAGAGGGAGGAAGAAAGGAAGAAAGAAAGGAAGGAAGAAAGGAAGGGAGGAAGAAGGAAGGGAGGAAGGAAGGAAACCTCATAGCAGTGAACTTTGTAGGGAAATACATACATATAATTTATGTGTGTTTCTCCACTCGACATAACTAATTATTGGCTTATGTAGACAGTATGCTAACTCAAAGATGAATGATAGGAAAATCATAGCCAATATGGACATAATACATAATGAAAAACAAATGGTCATAAAATTGGAAATTCTTCCAAAATACTGATTTTTATTTGACAATGAAGTAGTAGTAAAATGTAATGATTCCTGAAAATTTTCTATATATTGACTATTTGCAAAGTAATAGTGAACTTCAGATGTGATCTCTCTTACTTCTAAGAGGACAGATCAGCAAATACTATTTTGTGACTAGATATTTTAAGGATGGTAAACTCAGTGAAGTAACAGCCATGAACTTGGCACCCTATAGCAAAACACAATAGAAGGTTGAGAAGAATTGCAATAACTATTGAGCATAATTGCTATTGATTGATAGTGAATTTCACTAGTTTCTGATTCAGTTAGTTAGCATGGGAAATCCATTTTTGTTTTTTTTACAAAAAGATCATTTGCTTCAAAACACCTCATGTGAAGTTCTTTAAAATCTTTGGAAATACTCCCTATCACTTTGTTTCTTTGGGTACGTGAAATATAACTTCTAAATTTTTGCCTGATAGATTCAAATGAATGGAAACTTTTTTTCCTAATATTTTGTTTTCACCATGAGTTCTGTAATGATTCTACATGTTTGGTGAAATGAACAATAGTGCATTAATTTAAAATGTGCTTTTTAAACTAGTTAACTATCTGATTGGAACAACTCTCACAGAAAGGTTATTTTTGGAAAGTTTTTACTAAATTTCTGTACATAGTAAATAGTGGTTCCCTTTGATCTAACAAATACTGCATTTTTGTGTGAATTCTCAACCTTGAGTTCAAGATTGGTAATTCAAGTCTCCTCAGCTTGATTCTACACCTTAGAGTACACAGAATCATATAATCTACTGTACTTGTAAAGCTGCCAGGATTGTTTCAACACAATCATTCTGCACAAGAAACTGACAGTTTGATGAACTTTAAATTTACAATGTGATGGTTATAATTTGACAGTGAAACTCCATCAATAAAGCCCATCAATAAAATTTAGACAGTCCAGATATTTATCTTTTTTCCTCCACTTACAAGGGAGAGAAGAAGGAAAAGAAGAAAACCAAAGGAAGGAAGGCGTAGGGAAAAAGAATGAGAATTCTTTGCTTTCTCTGGCATAGAATTGAAAAGAGCATCTAACACAGACACAATTAGCCTTCAACTCCCTGTTAAACTAAGATCACTTGACTTCAATGCCTGGTCTAACCTACAAAAATATTACTACCACATTCTTA